GATGCAACAGCGGCAGATCAAGGCTTGGGTGGTTGTGGCCAGGCTTGCTGACCTGCATGTGAAGGAAATACCCTAGAGGCAATAATAAAGTTGTTATTTTATATTTTCTTATTCATGATAAAGTTTTATTATTCCTGCTAGTATTGTATTGATCGGAAACTTAAATACATGTGTGAATACATAAACAAATACTGTGTGCCTAGTAAGCCTCTACCAGATTAGCTCGTTGATCAAAGAAGGTTAAGGTTTCCTAACCATAGACATGTGTTGTCACTTGATAACGGGATCACATCATTAGGAGAATGATGTGATGCACAAGACCCATCCGTTAGCTTAGCATATGATCATTCAGTTTATTGCTACTACTTTTTTGAATTTCAAATACATGTTCCTTCGACCATGAGATCATGCAACTCCCGAAGATCGGAGGAATACCTTGTGTGCTATCAAATGTCACAACGTAACTGGGTGATGATAAAGATGCTCTACAGGTATCTTCGAAGGTGTTTTTTGAGTTGGCATGGATTGAGATTGAGATTTGTCAGGATTTCTTAAAGAAAAGTTGTATATGATGCAACCAGAAGGTTTTATCGATCCTAAATGTGCTAACAAAGTGTGCAAGCTCCAGCAATCCATCTATGGACTGGTGCAAGCATCTCGGAGTTGGAATATACGCTTTGATAAGGTGATCAAAGCATATGGTTTTATACAGACTTACGGTGAGACCTGTATTTACCAGAAAGTGCGAGCTCTGTAGCATTTCTGATATTATATGTGGATGACATATTGTTGATTGGAAATGACATAAAATTTCTGGATAGCATAAAAGGTACTTGAATAACAATTTTTCAATGAAATCTCGATGAAGCTACTTACATATTATGCATCAATATCTATAGAGATAGATCAAGATGCTTAATAGGACTTTCACAAAGCACATACCTTGACAAAGTTTTGAAGGAGTTCAAAATGGATTAATCAAAGAAAGAGTTCTTGCCTGTATTCAAGGTGTGAAGTTGAGTAAGACTCAAAGCCCGACCACGGCAGAAGATATTTTGTACGGTAGGAAAGTGTTTGATTACAAGAAAACAGTGGAGAAAAAAATAAATCGGTGGGGTGGGGGAGGGGACGAAAAAGACCAGTCGAAAAAAACCCAGACGAAAGTGGTGGGACGAAAAAAAACCGGTGGACGCAATCCTACCAACTGCTCCATTACGAGTAGAGAAAAGAGCAAACATTAATTCCCCTACAGCCATCCCACAAAGTACACACGGGATAACCACCCACGTCTGATCAAACCCACTTAATAAAATCCAAGCGCCCAAGTTACATCAAACATCTGCAGATCAGATCGACGGTTCAGAACAAATGTTCTGCCGGCAGACTGCCCCCGCACAGGATGCTAGACAACCCCACGATGCTACCTCCAGGAGGAATTAAACAATTCGTCTATGATTAAAGCCGCCACCCGGACACGACCTGCCCTCGCCCCGCCGTCCTCACCCCGGTGGCCGTGTCGTCTTGAGGAAACCTCAACCCGCCCCGGTGACAGTCCTGGCCCCTGGTGTCTGCGCTGTCCTCACCCCCACCTTGGCCCACCCTAGCGACTTGCCCTAGATCCAGTGTCCATGCCGTCCTCGCCCTGGCCACTGTCTCGAGAACACCTCTTGCCATCCCGGCGTGTTGCTCTATCTTCGGTGTCCACATCGTTCTTGCCCTGGTGGCCGATCCATCTCGACGACATGGATCATCATCGAGATACTTCCAGCCCCGCCCCTGCATAGGTTACATCATTTCAATTTCGCATATGTTACGATCAGAACAAAATAAAGGAAATTGTCACCATTACACTACAGAACACCATGTAACAACATCCATGTATCTACAGGACACCATGTAACAACGTCCACAGACCTACCTACAGGACATCGGGTATTATTAGGATTACTGGTACATGCCACCATGATCTTAATGTTTTATTGAAGAAATTAAGTACACACTGCACATTAGGATTCCTGGTTAGTTGTTTCTTACCAAGGGGTTCATTTAGATACATTATAACCGAGCACCTTTCTAGCTCTCTCAGGCCATCAACTCTCGCAACCGTCAGATCGTCAATTTTAAGCATTTTCGGCCGTCGGATTTGTTGTGAATTGCTCCTAATCCGCCTCAGTTCGCTAATAAGGATCACTAACCGTCAGGGGCCGCTGCTCCGGTCTCTTTTTTGGGCGTCTCGGGTTAAATTGGGCCTAATGGGCCTCTAACAACCTCCCTTCACACACCGAATCCAGGAAAAGCTACTGAGTACGCCGCTGCTGCCTTCGTCGATCTCCTATTCTGTCAGGGCCGCTGCTACTCTTGCAGCCGTCGCCTCCACTCATGCCCACCCTCTCGTCCCCCCCTCTCGCGACTAGGGGTGAATCCTTGGTGTGCTGCCACCTAGAGCGAGATGTCGCCGATGCGCAAGGAAGATGTGAAAGGGCAATGCTACACTCGCAACCCT